AACTTTGAAAATTATTTTGATTGTTTATTAAATGTTATTTAAAAACTATCATGCGAAGAGTGTTCATTGGTTGTGCCTAAAGTTGTTTAAGACTTCCTTATTACAAAGTTTATATTGACAATGCCTTTAGGAACATAAGACTCCCCCTCAACATTTTTCTACACTTCAGTTGGATACATGGTTGCAAGAAGAACAACATTGATTAAGTGATCTTTGAAGAAGGACAAATCCATTTCAACGAATCCCTTTTGGTCCTCTTACCACTGATCATAAAATGGACCCCTTTAAGAACTCTCCCTCTTTTGGTATTATAAAAACGACAGTAGATAAGGTTACACAGGAAGGTTGGGAAGATGATGAAGTTGTTTTAAAAGCTTATATCATAGGTGGCATAATGCCTGCAATAAATGCTTGAAAAAAAGAGGCATAGAAGGTATGATTGCATTGGTTGGAGTTTGTGGGTAAAGAGTCATGAGATGGCTTTGGATGGGTCTGAGGTGGTGACAATCTTTAAATTGCATAGTTAAAATTTGAAATCGTACAACAAATAAGTTAAAACATGAGAACTAATATGATAATTACAATACTCGTGTGTGTTTTTTCGGAGGTCTACAATTTTAAAGCAAGAACTCTAGCTTTGATGGAGGCATGACAACCTATGTTTATGTCCTTCTTACCTTATTGCGATGAGGTTTCGGGATATGTTGTATAATAAACTTGTTTTATTTCATATACTCCTTTTCTCTTTCTCTCTTGTATGAAACTTACTTCCTTACATTAAATGTCTTTTATGAAAACAATTTCTTTATCCTTAGATGTATAAGAGTGTTTACATCTAACCTCCTTTTATCCCATGACCATATAAGATTTGAGTATATTTGTTAAACAAGATACACCAATTCTATTACATAACATCCCAAAGTTTAGAAGCACAAATATTATGACCGAGTACTTAGGGGGTGTTTGGATTACCTTATTGCGATGAGAATAAGCAATAAGTAATAAGCATTTTTAAGTGTTTGGAAAACAAGACAAATCATATGAGTAAAATGACCACAAAGGGCTTCCTCTTATATGTTAACATATTTTTCTTATTCAAACAAAAGATTTTTCTTTTTTAAATAATAATAATAATTTTCTTATTCATAATAACTAAAAAAACATTTACCACATTATTTTTACACCTATTTTTAAATTGATTGGATACACCTATCCACAAATTTCATTCCAAATCCATATTATCCAACATATTATCCAAAATAGTTTCATGTTACTACATTAAACCATAAAATGAAAATACTAAATCGTTTCAAAACAAACCATATGTCGTTACGTGCACAAGTGTTTGACCTTGAGAATATATGTCCCATAATCATATCACGTACTGCACTTATATATATATATATATATATATATATATATATATATATATATATATCGTCACTTCTATGTTGTGTACTTGATACTTCGTCATGTAGCTCAATACCATCATCGGGTCCTTCATCATTACGTGGAATATAAGATTCTTCTTGCACTATTTGAAATGTTGCATCACCACTACCGCTCATTCTAATGTAATTGTGAATTGTCATTGAAGCTAGCACAATTTTAACTTGGGTCTCAAAGTTGAAATTTACATGCATATCTCTTAGTAACACCCAGCCTTCCAGACTCCAAAAGTTCATTCAATTACATTGCAAAGTGACGAATGATAATAGTTAAATTTTTCTTTGAAGCCTTTTGGTTCCTGCGAGGCACGAGTCTGTCCACGTCGAAAATCAGGAATATGATAACGGATGTTTGAACCTTTGTAGGGAGCCAGATAACCTTTTGTATTAGGATATCCGGCGTCTACAATGTAAAACTTACCTATAGAGGTAAAAAAATGATTGTTATTCATTTATATGGTTTGAAATATAAAAATTCTATTAATAAGTAATGATACTAACCATCGGCTGGAAGTGGAAACTTAACTTCACGTATCCTTTGCGCTTCATTGAAAATTCTCGTGTCATGTGCAGTCCCCTCCCATCCAACCCACGCAAAGGTAAAACACATGTTGAAATCACATGCTGCCATAATATTTTAAGTAACACAATTCTTTCGTCCAATGTATTTGATTTGATCACGTTGCGAAATAGATGCCTACACGTGTGTTCCATCGATGGCACCAATACAATCCTACAAATTCAAAAAATATAATAAGTTACCAATTATTTTTACAATTGCACAAATTCACCAAATAACATAACTTTGCAACAAATAAGTACCTTGAAGTATGGATAATACCGAGGGTTATTTAAAATATGTTCTGGTATAGTTTCGTTGTAGTTAGCATTTGGTTTGATGATGTCCTTACTTAGGTTAACCACAACATCTAAGACTTTATGAAAATGTCTATGGATTGTTTCCCCAGAATGATTAAAGAACTCTTGAACTAACCGATTTCCACATCTATGTGCTAAGTACAACAATAAAATACCAAGAGACTCTTCAATAAATACACAACGTGATTTCTTTAACCCATAATGTGTAACAAAATCCCTACATAACATGTTGAAAATCGGGACTTGTAATCTAAAAAGTTCATAACATCGGCTCTCATGATCGTTAAGTATTTCATTAATAAGCATGCTTCCTATGTGTGAAGATGAACGGCGGCGTCTACATACATATTTCAATTTAGGAGTCAATAGTAACCCTTTGATAACAAGCCCACATAAAAGAAGTGTTTAAATCTCTTCATTTTCTTCGATTTCATCACATAAGTCATCATTGTCATATGAGTTGTCACTTTCACAGTCACTGGCCATGAATTTAACCTGTTACTAATCGAAAAGGAAACTAGGGTAAGATTGAAATTTACCACATACTAGATAAAATAATGGCAACATCATGGAAAAGAAAACAAGAGCAAAATCATGGGGAAAGGGCAAAATTGACCACAAAACAAACATGAAACGACATTGCATAAAACAAACACAAAACAACCGTTTAAATGTAACATAATAGATGAAAGGATAGATCTAACACATGACAACCGTTTAAAGTCCTCCTAATACATAAAATCATTGAAAAGGAAACAAAAACAAAATCATGGGACAAGGGCAAAATTGACCAAAAAAGTAGAGCATGTCTAACACATGACATAAAAGGATAGGGCTAACACATGACGTAAAAGGATAGGGCTAACACATGACATAAAAATAGAGTATGTCTTCAACTACTTCACTTTCTCTATAAGCCTCTTGAGAAACTCCATCTTTGTTTCATTAACCATAAAATTCTTACGAGTTGGCTTCTTTAAAAAGACCTCTAACGCTTCTAAATATCTTATTGAGCCTTCTTCAAAACCCGGGAAAGTAGAGATAATTTCCATGCAATCTTCTGTTGTGAGTGATTGTGTGGTTTGTCTTGAGGGTTGAGTGCTCCTTGTTAACAAAACATCAAAAACAATGTCTAATTTTCTCTTCATATGACAAATTTGCCATACTTTTTCCTTCATTTTTCCCTTCAAATTTTATTTTGTTGTCACGTCTGGGAGTTAACTTCTTTCCCCTCCTTTTCATACTAGAACTACCATATGTGAGAAAAGGATGAACATCTTCAAATAAGCGGACTTCGTCAGTATCCACTTTGCCATCCGTAATATCCACAAAATGTACATCATCCGAAGTGTTACCGTTGCCAGATTAGCAAGGTACCTTAGCCTTGTCTCCAACAGCTACGTTATCCCGAAATAAAGCCTCGTAATATGTCTGATATACATCCAAGTTCTTATCCTTAAACTTAGCATACTCTTTATCTTCCTATATGTACAAAATGAGAATGCCACGAAAAACACAATACAAATAATATATTGTTAGATAAAAAAATTTAATTATTACCTTTATTTTCTAATCTCACCATTCCTTTGATGCTGAGATTATAATTCTTATGGGATAAGTTGAAATTCCTGTTTCTAGTCTTGTTAAACGGTCATAATATTTGAACTCTTGCTGCATAATGTCCCATTTGTTTTTCATTTGATTTCTGTCCAATTCTTTACCCGTTCATTCCAATGAAATATATTTGTAACTTTCACTTTGGGTGTATCAATATCCACATCATGAACATTAACAGTGTCCATTACCTATATTACATCATCATAAGGAATGAAGAAAATTCTTAAATTTCAACCTAATATTTAATCAAAACAGCAGAGGAATTTATAAACACAAACAAGAACCAGTACCATCAATAGGACCAAATAACCACAAGAATAATGAAGAGAAAATAGAAGCATGACACGGGAAGTTTATGATCAAACATCACAGGGCAACTTACCATCACAATGCTAGTATGAGAAAAAAAAAACATCATACCTAGAAGCATCAATAACAACTAATAACAAGAACAATCAAGAATGAAGAAAAAAGGAACAATTCATGGCTTCATCGTTTGTTTATGCATGATCGAACAAAAGAAGAAGAAGAAGAAACACAAACAGATTGCGTTACCAGACGAGAAAAAGAAGAAGAAGGAAGAAGCAACAAATGTACCTGATCGTTGATGGCTGATGGCTTGAAGATCGTCGATGGCAGCAGATGTGAAGAAGGAATAACGATCGACAACAATTGATCGACCAAAAGGGTTATGGGTTTATGTAACGTTGTTTTGAAGGGTAAGTAGATAATTTTCGAAATCATTAAAATTAAGCAATAAACAATAAGCATTCCTCCCATTGTTTATTAAAATCAACTCATTTAGCTTATTCCTACCACAATAAGTTGATTTTTTAAGCTTCCTATCCAAACACTTCAACTCAACTTATTGTGGTAAGAATAAACAATAAGCAATAACCAACAATTTTTTTCCCTATCCAAACACCCCATTAGTAATTAACGGGTCTTAAAAATAAAAAAATAATAAACATATCAATTTCATTCCGATCCAAAAGTTTGGAACAATGCTCAATCCTAGTACACAACCCTAGGAATGTGTATAACAAGCAAACAAACCCTATGAGAGATGGAGATTGGAGACACAAACTCTACCAAATGTTCTATTAGCCGATTGTCTTTAAAGCAAGTCTTAGGTTATGTCCCAAACAATGTGGTGATTCAAATTTTGAAAAAGCACCACTTCATAAAAGTTTTCTTTTCGGCCCGCCGTTCTCTCTCCTTCTCTCTCTCCGGACGGAAAAGACCAAACCCTCACTCGCTCTTTATATACCAGTGTCCGCTCTACAGTACATACGAAGGATCTAAATCGTTTCTGAAACTCAGGTCTAGGGTTTTCTCTTCTTGCTACTAGTTGTAACCATGTCGCTGAGACCTAGTGCCAGAACGGAGGTTCGCCGGAACCGATACAAGGTTGCGGTTGATGCCGAGGAAGGCCGCCGGAGGAGAGAAGACAATATGGTTGAGATCCGTAAGAATCGGAGAGAAGAAAGCTTGCAGAAGAAGAGACGCGAAGCACTCACTGGTAGCCAGTTCGCCATGCCCGTTCAGTCCGCTTCCGCCGCCGAAAAGAAGGTAGATAAAACTTCTAATATCGTCGCATCGAATGCAATTTTGCCGGCTTTATGTAGTAAATTTTCGTTACTCTATTATTGTGTTTTGTCTGGGTTTTTAGGGTTTTCAGTTCGTTTCGTTTTTAGAAATTGTAACTCGATCATCGTTGCTTTGTATGAAGTTCAGATTATGTAATCTGGATATAGTCCATGTCAATTAAACATGGCTGCGTCGCCTGATTTCAGTCCTATTAATTTAGGATTTTTAGTAGCACCGTTACATCCTCGGTGTCTAATATGTTCTAGCTCCAGATAGTTTGTGGTCGAAATCGCAATTCGTTTCTGTGGGATGTCGACTAAACCGACTGTGATTCTGTTATATTTAACTGTGATTGTTCTGATTTCAGTTGGAAAATCTTCCTGCCATGGTTGCCGGAGTTTTCTCTGACGATAACAATATGCAGCTTGAGGCCACTACTCAATTTCGTAAACTTTTATCAATAGGTAATACCATCGTTACTATTTTTATCTCAATCACTGTTTTTACACAGCTAAATCCATTACATTTTTAACCAGAACGCAGCCCTCCAATTGAAGAAGTTATTCAATCTGGTGTTGTTCCTCGCTTTGTTGAGTTTCTTGTAAGGGAGGATTTCCCACAACTTCAGGTGAATTTCAACACAACATAATATAAAATACACACAATATTTTCATATGTTTTGTATAATAATATATATTCCCTGTAGTTTGAGGCTGCTTGGGCTTTGACTAATATTGCTTCCGGGACATCTGAACACACAAAAGTGGTGATTGATCATGGAGCTGTTCCAATATTTGTGAAGCTTCTTGCATCTCCAAGTGATGATGTTAGAGAACAGGTATCTTTTAGAGGTTTTTGTATTTCATAAACCCAATTCACAAATTCATTATCATGACATGAATTTCACTTTATGTACATGATAGGCTGTATGGGCTTTAGGGAATGTTGCTGGTGATTCCCCTAAATGTCGTGACCTTGTACTTGCACAAGGTGCTTTGATTCCTCTACTATCCCAATTAAATGAGCATGCTAAGTTATCCATGTTGCGAAATGCCACATGGACACTTTCAAATTTTTGCAGAGGCAAACCCCAGCCTTCTTTCAGTCAGGTTTGTTTCTGAAAAGACTAAACTACCCACATACTTCTTTTGGCTCTATCTTTTCAACATCTGTACTGATAAATTCTGATTTTGTCTTGTCTTTTCACAGACAAAACCTGCACTTCCAGCTTTACAGCAACTTATTCATTCAAACGATGAAGAAGTTTTGACAGATGCTTGTTGGGCTCTTTCATATCTTTCAGATGGCACAAATGATAAAATCCAAGCTGTTATTGAAGCAAATGTATGTCCAAGATTGGTTGAGCTACTGAAGTGAGTCTTTTATTCTTCTTTTTTTGATAAAGTTAGGATCTTTAAACTTTTTTTTTAAAATTTCTAACCTTTTTCTTTATTTTTAGTCACCCTTCTCCATCTGTCCTTATCCCTGCTCTTCGTACTGTTGGTAACATTGTTACAGGAGATGATATGCAAACTCAGGTAGCATTTCTTTTGGATTATTTCTTAAAGATAATTGTTGCATTTGTTTTCAGATTATAGAAAACAGACATAACATTCGTTTCTGACTTTCATTCGTGTGTTGTACTTGTAGTATATAATCAATCATCAAGCTTTGCCTTCTCTTCTCAACTTGTTGACCAACAACCACAAAAAAAGTATCAAGAAAGAAGCTTGTTGGACTATTTCAAACATCACTGCTGGCAACAAGGAGCAGATTCAGGTCATAATTTGAAATTTTTTTATCAAGATTTAACTTTAACCATCAAACATTATTTTCTTGACTGATATATCATCTACTTTGTGATTTTTACAGACAGTGATTGAAGCAAATATCATTGGCCCTCTTATTCATCTGCTTCAAAATGCAGAATTTGACATCAAGAAGGAAGCTGCATGGGCCATTTCAAATGCTACTTCTGGTGGAAGCCATGACCAAATCAAGTGAGATTCATAAACCTAAAATATTCGCTTCAATTTCCCAATATTTGTGAGCAAATTTCAGGAAATTGCAATACATTCTAGTCACTTTTTACCCCTTAGCAGCAATATATTTACATTTGTGTGATTTACGGATGATAAAATGCAGGTATTTGGTAAGTGAGGGATGTATTAAACCATTGTGTGATTTACTGATATGCCCTGATCCAAGAATAGTGACAGTTTGTTTAGAGGGGCTTGAGAATATATTGAAGGTTGGTGAAGCAGAAAAGAATTTGGGAAGATCGGGAGATGTGAATCTTTATGCACAGATGATTGATGATGCGGAAGGGTTGGAGAAGATTGAGAATTTACAGAGTCATGATAACAATGAGATTTATGAGAAAGCAGTGAAGCTTCTTGAGACGTATTGGTTGGAGGAAGAGGATGATGCTATGCCACCTGGCGATGCAGCTGCTCCTTCTGCTGCTGCTGGTGGTTTCCATTTTGGAGGTGGTGATGTTTCCGTTCCTTCTGGTGGATTCAACTTTAATTGAGGTAGGTAATGTTTTTGAATACCCTTGGAATGGAATTGCTCATTCTGTTGGAATTGAAAACAAAATCATGTCCAGTTTGAATTTCATTCCATGAGGGAGGGGTGTTTTTTTGGAAAGAAATGATTATAATTATAGATTAGTTTTTTTTATTATTTTATATTATCTATTTATATTCTATAAAAATGTTTTTTTTCCAAAGTTTTTGTAAGTTTCTATTGAATTACTCTTTTTATTTTTGAAATGAGAAAAAGCATTATTTAATTATAATACCATGTTAAGATTTTATGGGATATAATTTTTTTATAAACATTTTAGAAGTTTATTTTGGGTTTTTGAATTAACATATATAGTATATATAATAAAATGGTTATGAAAAAGTTTTTTTCCCTGATGGAGCGGAATTGACCTTTTTATGGAATGGAATCTTGTATTTGCAACATAACCCATTTTTTTATTTATATAATATATTTAGTATTTTCAACTTTTTCCCAATGTGATAAAAAAATGCACAGGGTAGAATCGATCATACATTGTATAAAAAACTAATATGAAAATATATTTTGTTTTTACAGAGTTATTATAAAAAAGATGTATCATCAAATTATTAAATAAATATGGGTTAAACCACAAATTTTCATTCCATTCCACACAATGAAATAAAAAAACAATGCCTTTTAACTAAATCCAAGCAATCAAATTCTTTTGGGGAGTAATAATCAATGGAATTCACCATTCCATTCCTTGTTTGAATTCCATGTTTTCAGGTCTGTTTTGAAGATGGTGGTGGCTACAAGTCTGTTTTGGTTATTAAAATCGGGATTTATAGATTTATTATTCCTTGTATTTCTTGTTGGGAATTTCCAATTCCTTATAATATGATTTTGTTTGGTTCTTGATGTATGATGTTCATGTTCATGTTCTACAAAAAAACTGGTTACTATTACATTTACTAGTCGAGATTCTGACTCTTGTTATCAAGAGACAAACTTTTACACATATTTTTCTATTTATCTCTTTTTTTATTCACTATTTTGTTATAAAATATGTTGAAGCGTTTAAGCACACTCAGCAAATTGTTTTAACTGATGATGGAGATTAAAAATCTGCAAAAAATAGTCATTTTACTATTATAAGTTACAACGATCCAAAACAAGTTTTCATTTATATCATTTGTAAATTGTAACTATTACAAACAAGACTTGTGCCATTTGTTTTTTGGAAAAAACATCTTTAGATATTTTATTGTTGCACGGTGCAGCACACGACAAACATTTTTCATCTTGTGGCTGTTTGTTTTTCAAAAATCTTTGGATTAAAAAACCTCTGCGCGTGTTCCTCTTGGAGTGTTACGTGTTTTTGCATCTTCCAACCTTTTTTTTCTTGTTAAAATATTAATTATATATTGTTGATTTTTTTTTCCGTTTTTTTTTATTTATTCTTGTTGAAATTTGTTTTCTTTTTTATATTGAATAATAATAAATTGTTTATGAAATATCCTTATTTTATGCTAAAATATCTTTATTTTTTGTTAAAATATTATTATTTATTGCTGAAATATCATAAATTCTTAACGAAATATGTTACATTATTAAATTTTCGTTATTAATATTTTTGGATTATAATTTTTATTTTTTTTTTTATTTTTTAATATCTGCAGCAGTATGCAGATGTTAAAAAATATAAACATGCTTTTTGTTACAGTTTGCAGCCGTTTGGTTCATCGTTTCTACTGCAGAGGATCGCAGAGGTGTTCCACAGACTTTAAAGACTTTTGCTTTAAAAAAACAAACAACATCTTAAAATGTTGGGTATGACAATAATGTTAACACATCAACATTGAGCCCTCACCGTCTTAAGGGGGTAGTGGGTGGTGTTGAAGGATGGCGGTGTTCATCTTTTCTTAACGATGTTAAAGGAGGCTATGTAGGTTTCTCAACTTAGTTTAGAGACGGTCTTATTTTGGCAATAAGTTTATAGTTATTGCAAGGTTGTAAAAAACATTGGCGGAACCTTGATAGTTGCTTGAGGTTAAGAGATTAATCGTGAGATCCTAATTTATTAATAAAAGTCTTTAAAAACTTAATATATTATAAAAGAATAAGTATTTGAACATTTAAAATTTTGAAAATTGATAAATTTTGATGTAATATTTAAAATTTTGATTTTTTTTCTGCCTAGGAGCATCAAGGACCTTCAAGGCCGATTTTGACCAATATTGGGTATTTTCCGTCAAACACCCTAATCATAATTGGTTGTAGACCATCAAACGATTAATTCCCGATTAATCGGTCGCCAAGACCGATTTCTGCAACATTGAGTTATAGTAATAAGAAAATGGTTAACAAAAACAATACATATATATATATATATATATATATATATATATATATATATATATATATATATATATATATATATATATAAACACACACAAGTGATTCTAGGAGTTCATAACATAAAATTTCAATTATTTCATCAAATGTAATGGATGTTATTATGGGGGAGTACATGTGTGTATCCGACCAAAAACTCAATGAATGCTATTTTTTTTTTTTACTTTTTTTTTGTTACAAGTAATAAATAGGAGTAGCTTGGGATGAAGGGATTTGAGCTGGAGGTGGCGGGTACCTCCAAGATGGTTGTCCCTCTATAAGTGGTACCGTTAAATGAAATGCTTGAATGAGTTATTCAACTCGCTTTCATCACACTCTTTCTCTTTCTATTTTTCTCTTATAATGTGCTTAAGAACTTGTATCTATCTTATGGGTTGGGAAAAATAAAAGAAATAGAAGAGAGAAAGTTGATATGAAGCTAATGTGACAGTAGGTTGAATGAGTTGGAAGACTTCTACTCCTACCACCCCAATACCAACAAAAGTAAGAACTCATTTTAAATTAAAGAAGATATATGCATACTTATAACACAAGTATGACTATTACTCGAGAAAGCAAAAAATAAAGCGATAAAACGATACTAGAATTTTACGTAGTGGAGTCAATGTGACCCTATGTCTACAAACGGGAACCGAATTATTCTTTCTATTACTACACTGTTACAAAAGAGATTGATTTGGAAAACCTAACTACGAATACTTATAACTGTAAACCCTAGCAACAATAGGGTCGGACCCATATACATGTACGACTTCAAGCCTAATGACCCTCAACATACTTTAAACGCTTATCCCTTTGAAATTGTCATTTGAGTTTTTCTTCACTTCGTTCAGGTTGTAGGTTATCTATTCGGGTCACCAAAATATCAATTATAAAACAAAAGTTGCTTTGTGATGGTCAAGCTAGTTATCTTCATAACTTCATACTTGGTTCTTTTGTCAAATAAGTCAAACAACTTAAGGAAGTATGGGTGACAAAAGTTACTTTTTGTTATATGAAATCGATATTATGTTTTTTCTGAAGTATATATATGCGACATAAAACACAACTTAGGAAATGTAAAACAAAAGATAGAACATATGCTATCATTTGGTGTTAGACATACACAAAACAAAAGGTAGGAAATTTAAAAGACATAAATACCCTCATTTGAGGAGAACATACAAATAATAGGGGGTAGTGGGTGGTGTTGAAGGATGGCGGTGTTCATCTTTTCTTAACGATGTTAAAGGAGGCTATGTAGGTTTCTCAACTTAGTTTAGAGACGGTCTTATTTTGGCAATAAGTTTATAGTTATTGCAAGGTTGTAAAAAACATTGGCAGGACCTTGATAGTTGCCTGAGGTTAAGAGATTAATCGTGAGATCCTAATTTATTAATAAAAGTCTTTAAAAACTTAATATATTATAAAAGAATAAGTATTTGAACATTTAAAATTTTGAAAATTGATAAATTTTGATGTAATATTTAAAATTTTGATTTTTTTTCTGCCTAGGAGCATCAAGGACCTTCAAGGCCGATTTTGACCAATATTGGGTATTTTCCGTCAAACACCCTAATCATAATTGGTTGTAGACCATCAAACGATTAATTCCCGATTAATCGGTCGCCAAGACCGATTTCTGCAACATTGAGTTATAGTAATAAGAAAATGGTTAACAAAAACAATACATATATATATATATATATATATATATATATATATATATATATATATATATATATATATATATATATATAAACACACAAGTGATTCTAGGAGTTCATAACATAAAATTTCAATTATTTCATCAAATGTAATGGATGTTATTATGGGGGAGTACATGTGTGTATCCGACCAAAAACTCAATGAATGCTATTTTTTTTTTTTTTACTTTTTTTTTGTTACAAGTAATAAATAGGAGTAGCTTAGGATGAAGGGATTTGAGCTGGAGGTGGCGGGTACCTCCAAGATGGTTGTCCCTCTATAAGTGGTACCGTTAAATGAAATGCTTGAATGAGTTATTCAACCCGCTTTCATCACACTCTTTCTCTTTCTATTTTTCTCTTATAATGTGCTTAAGAACTTGTATCTATCTTATGGGTTGGGAAAAATAAAAGAAATAGAAGAGAGAAAGTTGATATGAAGCTAATGTGACAGTAGGTTGAATGAGTTGGAAGACTTCTACTCCTACCACCCCAATACCAACAAAAGTAAGAACTCATTTTAAATTAAAGAAGATATATGCATACTTATAACACAAGTATGACTATTACTCGAGAAAGCAAAAAATAAAGCGATAAAACAATACTAGAATTTTACGTAGTGGAGTCAATGTGACCCTATGTCTACAAGCGGGAACCGAATTATTCTTTCTATTACTACACTGTTACAAAAGAGATTGATTTGGAAAACCTAACTACGAATACTTATAACTGTAAACCCTAGCAACAATAGGGTCGGACCCATATACATGTACGACTTCAAGCCTAATGACCCTCAACATACTTTAAACGCTTATCCCTTTGAAATTGTCATTTGAGTTTTTCTTCACTTCGTTCAGGTTGTAGGTTATCTATTCGGGTCACCAAAATATCAATTATAAAACAAAAGTTGCTTTGTGATGGTCAAGCTAGTTATCTTCATAACTTCATACTTGGTTCTTTTGTCAAATAAGTCAAACAACTTAAGGAAGTATGGGTGACAAAAGTTACTTTTTGTTATATGAAATCGACATTATGTTTTTTCTGAAGTATATATATGCGACATAAAACACAACTTAGGAAATGTAAAACAAAAGATAGAACATATGCTATCATTTGGTGTTAGACATACACAAAACAAAAGGTAGGAAATTTAAAAGACATAAATACCCTCATTTGAGGAGAACATACAAATAATAGTTAAAATCATAACAGTGTCTTTTTAGTATTTTCTTTTCCTTTCATTCTATCATGTAGACCTTTTACCGTCATTTGAGTTTTTCTATGTGTACATTATTATTTTTTTTGAACCGACAAACTAACCTACTCCTAAAACAATCTGTCTCCTAACGAGACTTGAACTCATGACCTCTCATTTGAGAGTGACTTATACTCACAATTTTTTTTATCTTCATAATGACAAGCGGTTATAAACATAAATTACAATATAAAAACCGCCATGATAATATTAATAACACATTAAGTCAAGTTATTTAATAGGAATCATTGGCTCTTTGATTTAGATTATTTGTTGTGTTTGTTATTTTTGACATGGAAATGTGATTGATTTTATGAGTGATTAAGTGATGTGGTTTTGTATTGTAGATTGCACCAAATAGGAGGGAAGCTTTATCACTGAAGAACGCGATTGAAGACCGTATCACAAAAGGTGTTGTTTTTGTATTGAGTTCCCATATTTAAGTGGTAATGGTAGTAAATAACAATCTTCTTTGAATTTACATGATTATTTTCTATTTTTCGTTGTGAGTCTTCATTTTCTCTGCCAAAAAATAGCACATTGCTATTACGTGCATTTCCCGTTTTTGGTTTTAAATGCACTAAAATAACAATGTACTTCAATTATATCTTTTTCCCCCTGTTTTTTGCAAATTGTTTCGGCTTTTATCCAAAACCAACAATAAATAGGAAGGTACTTTGAATTTACATCTTTTTTTGTTTTTGTTTTATCTACAACATTTTTTTTTCTTTTCATTTTGGTCACATTTACATGTTTGCCAAAGATACAAGGTGTATCTAAGTTGCACAAGGGTTTGGCTATAGATGACTTTCTATATATTATGCTATCTATTAAAATTAGTTTTTATTATTTATTTATTTTTTCTAATAAATTTTTGTGGGTTTTATTCTTTTTAAGAAATCGCTTATCTTACATGTATTTATGTACCTATTTTGTGACCATGAGACCATGGATAAAATCAAGACAATGATCATCCCAATATTAAAAAGTATTCTCTTTCATATGAATGTAATATTAATTTGCACCATCACTGATAAATATTTTTTACATAATTTTTTTAGGTATTTGAGACTAAATCAAACAGGAAGATACTTATATATTGGTGATTTTCCTTGTGGTATATTATCTCTTAGGGTATCTTCGTTTATGAGTAATATTTTAATATTTAGATAATTATCTTAATATTCTTTAGCTTTATTTTAATCGTGTCAATCTTTTAGGGTGTTAACAATAAACAAATACCTTAATTCATGTCCATTATACCAAAACTTCCACATCTAATTCTTGCAACGCGGGATCCTTCTAGTTTTAGATGAAAAATTATAAGGTTAGTGGGTGTGGTGTCGCACTTGTCATAGTCCACATCAGCGCCATATCATATTTGTCACATTTTTCATTTAGAAAGCGTGATTTGTCACGCTTGTCATTTTTTTTTTTAATTTGTTGTAAATTAATTATATCAAAAATAATTAATTTAAACAAGTTATTTTAAAACTAAAAAGTATTATAATAATTAACTTATACTTTTGGGATATAATAATAATTAACTTAAATAGAAGGGATTTATTTAAATTAATAAAAAGTGTTAAACATTAAATGAAAGGATATAAATCTAAATGTCAATTTTATAAAGTTAAAAGATAAATATAGTATTTTTATTTTAAATTTGGGGTAAAAGGTGTAATATAGAATTTTTATAAACCAATATTGTAACTTACAATTCAAAAGTGTTTCTTTCTATTGGCAGAAATAACGAGTTATATTGCCGAATTTTGTTTTTCACAATCACGAAGTTGTATTCGCTGAAGTCATGTCAGCTTTGCCGAGCTCTTTGCTTAACCACACACACACCAGCTAAGATTTTTTAAGAGTCGTGAATTTATTACTTTTTAATTTTAAAATCAACTTTTTGAGTGTGTTGAAAATCTATTTCGAAAGCATTTATCCATTTAGCGAAGTCTTTTTTAGACATTAACTTTTTGAAAAGTCTAAATCAACAAGCTTTTCTCGGATCCCAAACACCTAAATAAGCAAATCCCAAACACCAAATAGTTTTACTCTGCATTCAGTGAGTTGCTACAATTGTGCCAACTCAAGAAAGCAAGTATAAGGATTAAATTTTCAAATGAGTAAATGCTAATAAAGTTAGATAAATATAAGTAGGATACATCAAAAAAGATAAACTTTTCATTTATTATAATAGAAAAAGAAATTAAATATATTTTTTTATTTTTTATTTTTATAAGTTTTTCTATCCAATTAAATAATAATATGTGTAATATTTAATGTTTATTTAATAATAATAGTATAATATAATAATATGACATATATGATCATTTAAATTGATAGGAGGGCTGAGAGGAACAAAAATTAAAAACTTATTTAAGAGGTGTTTGATATTCTTTTTAAAATGTCTTTTGAACTTTTAATTTTTCAAAGAGTCAAAAAAAAAATCCCAAAGATATTTAACAAATGAAAAAGTTTTTTTAAAACACGTTTTTCAAAAGTTATGTCGGTTCATCTTTTTGTGATTTTTAATTTTGAACTTTTAAAAATCTTTAAAATCAAGACAAACACATTTTAAATATATCATTTAAAAAAAAAAATTTATTTTACATTTATAAAAAGTACTTTTAACTTTTAAGTTTAAGAAAGAATTCCTTAATCTAAAATTCGTATGTATCCTCTCACAAGTCACATCCATCACGTTTTAAGTTTACGTCCTCAGGTCAGGTGGCATCTATATTATCAATAACTCAGGTCACAATATCGTGACTTGAAGATCTCTTATGTTTCTGAAGCAAAAATGGAGAAAAAATCATGGGTTTGTACTGTAATCATACAGCTCGCCCTCTGTTTTGCTCTCTACTATGCTATCAACTTCGGTGAGCCTCAAACGCCCACTTATCGCCTTCGAATTCATCGTCAATTCAGTGAGATTTACTTCATTTCTGTTCGTGGCGGAGTTAGAGCTCCCAAAGAGCAAATCCGTCTTCTTAAACAGGTAATTTTTCTTCATTTATAGTTGAAACGGCTATAATGACTTTCGGAGTTCGTTTCTACACTTTTGTACTTACTGATTTACATTACATCAATAAAACTTGTTTACGCTAATTAGAACTCGAGTTGCCAGTTCCTGATTTGTTTTTAGCTTCTGTTTTTTTGTGGGATCTGTGGATTTTGCCCCTTTCAGCTTATTAATGCTGTTAGTCAAGTCAATTTCTATTCCTTCGAAGTTCTAAATCAGCTTATCAATGCTCATAACAAAATTACAATGGTGTTTTCACATTATCGAGCAATTTAACATTTCGATTTTATTGCTTATGGTTCCGATTTTAACTTCTTTTGATATGAAGATAGAGAAGGTGATGAATACTTATAAAGTAGGATTTGTGATTAACATCAGTGAGCTTGGTGAAGATGATCCACTCTTACAAAATGTAAGATCTAACTTCCTTTTGGTGTAAATTATACAAAATTTCTTTTGAGAATCAATCGCTAAAGTAAAACTCTTTTCTTAGAATTTCATTTTTTTTTCACAGGCAACACAATATTTCAATCCACTGAAGGCTCCATGGTATATTAATATAATCTCTTAAACACTTTTTAACATTTTTTTTTGCACTTTGACTCAATACTTTTTATCTTTGGATCTGAGTCATAGAATCTCTCTTAGCAAAATGCAAAAGAGAAACACCCTTTTGAGTTTCTTCTTTAATATAGTAGTTATATTCATTCATCTTTTTTGATATTTTACTACAAAACAATTAAAAGATTTTCTAGCTGCAATTAAACTCTAAATGTAGGTACACTACTGTAGCTCTACAGGATATGAAGCCAGATTATTTTTTCAAACAGGTGAATGTTTCAAGTGGAAGAACACTCGATATTATAGCTCTAAATAATGGAATGATACAGGTTCATATCTTTTAATTTTTATTTATTTATTTATTTTTTTTTTATTGTTCATTTCAGTAAAGTTTATATTATTCTGTATATTTGAATACAAATATGCAATACAGGATCCTTCAGAAGTTCAGTTAAAGTTTTTGTCAAGAAAACTTGAATCAAGCAAAAGTAACTGGTATTAATCAAAACCGATTGTTTCTTTCTTTTATTTATTTATATAATTACAATGAACAATTAATTAAATTCTGTTAATTCCTTGAGACTCAAGGCACATTGCTACTGGATTTCATCCACTATTCTGCAATCAAAGATGGAATCAAACACAAGCAAAAGGAAACAATGTTATGCTACAAATGTTGATGGATCATGGAGTGGTATTCTACTCTCTCACATCCCAAATGTTTAGTTGCTCACATGTTTTTTTGTAGTAAATTTATAAAAAGTTTGAGCTTTTGTCAAATATCTAAAATACCCTTCAAGAAAAACTAAAAAGGTTAAAGAAAGTTTGTATCCCCAAATCAAGGATGTTGACTTTTTTTTCTTTTCTTTTCTGTAGTGATACTAAATAGAAAAAGGGTATTTTCAATACAAAGTGAGTAAATTACATGAATGGTCCCTATGGTTTGGGTTAATTTGCACGTTTGGTCTCTTAACTTATTTTTTTAACTCGGAAGGTCCCTACAGTTTGTTTTAGTTGCGCGTTTGGTCCTTGTCTTACCTGAAATGACTATTTTGCCCTTGATTTTTTAATTTATTTAAATAAGACGGGGTATGTAAGGTAAGGTGAGATGGAAGTGGAGTTGGGGGTGTATTTATTTAAATAAATTAAAAAGTCAAGGGCAAAATAGTCTTTTTAGGTAAAATAGGGACCAAGCGCGCAACAAGAACAAACAGTAGGAACCTTCCGAGTTAAAAAATAAGTTAGGGACCAAACATGCAAATTACCCCAAACCATAGGGACCATTCATGTAATTTACTCATACAAAATCTTTTTGTAAAAATAAATGTTTAATGAAAAAAAAAATTAAAACATCATATCTCATGTATTTTCAGGATGCTTATTTAAGTGGACACTCATGTGGAAATGAAACTCATATTGAAGGACCTTATTTAACAACCATAAACCAAGGATCAATTCCTTTCAAGTAAGTAAATATGATGTACTTTTTAATATTTATTTATAAAAAAAGGGTTGTATGTAAGAAATAGCAACATACTTTAATTATTTTGTTACTTATAGCATCTTACTTTAAAATATATCTATAACAAAATCTCACTTACTATATTTTTTATTAAAAGACATTGTTATAATAATTTGGTAGATTTTTCAAAGTACAATGTTACAATGTTATAATATAATAAACAAACAAATGAAAGTACGTTGCACTTTCTTCCATTTATCCTAAAAAACAACATCATGATGTCCTCTTCTGTTTTTTGTAGTGTAATGAAAAATATGTTCCTTCTTCACAGAGTGAGCTCCCTTGAAATTGTGAGTTCTGATCTTTCTCTTAAAATTTTTGTTGACATTGCTATAACTGGGTAGATTTTTTTTTTATTTGAAAGTAAATATTCAACATTGAAAGCTTTTTTTAACTTTGAACCAATTGTTAGCCTTTTCTTTTGAAATGTGAAGGTGTTTTTTTTTTTTTTTGGACAGGTAACATATGGTGTTAGTTTCAAAGGGGATATTGTTCATGAATCCACATTTAGACAAAGAGGAAGGGAGGTTATGTAACTGGTAAATCATATTATATATATAAGATTAAAAGTTCAATTACATTATTTTGTTTTACGATTTCTTTGTTATAGTTTGCTTGCTAAAGAAAGCCAATCTTTGTTTATTTTAAGCTCTCGCTCTTTAGTGATAAGATTATAAAACTATATAAACAATTTATGTTACTATTTTTTTTTTCATATACGTCTAGTTATTGCGTTTTCAAAGTCGTCTCATTTAAGCCATTTAGTTCACAATTGATTTTCTTGAGTCATCTTATCAACATGTGAGCGTAAAAATATTAAATCACTTGAAAAGTATATTAGTTACAAAAGAACAAAATACAATACTAAATCAATTGTATAATACATTGGTTAAAAGGGTTAATGTTGTTTTTAAACCAACCACAAATTTCAAAGATCCACTTTAGAACTTAGAAGCATGATGTCTTCTTGATGAATATTTTTTTTCAAATATTTAATGTATTTATCTGATTAGGTGTGAGATTTGTGTTTTATATGAGTTTATTGAAAAAAAAAACAATATTAACTTTTTAACATTAAACAATTATTTACGGAAATAGAAATTGACACATATGAAAAGTTTGTATGAATGACAATGAATTTCGTGATTGAATTTACGGATTTACATTAGAAAGAAAATAGCTTTCGTGCTTGTATTATTTATAGTATTGATTATGATTTATTTTAAGATTGATTTTGCATTTAGAGATTTAAGGAAAGAATATATGAGTATGTGGCATTTATTTGTTATGAACAAATAAGTAATTACATGTGGAAAACAATAAAATATAAAAATATGAGAAAATATCATTTGTTCAAATCAAAAAGAGAATAACATGTGACGAAAACATTTTCATTTATTAACGAGGATTGGTTCTCCACCGGTAGATAATCTAAATTAGGAATAGATTTAGCGGTGTACAAGTTATTGGCATACAATACTTAAATATTTTTTGTTGTTATTTAATTTAAACTCTATCATCTCAAACTAATCAATTGTAACATATATTTATAAAAAGGTTATATATGCTACGTCTATATTTGTATGTTGTAGATAGAATGCTACCTATTTTTAGGTAACATTTTATATAGTAAAAAATAAAATTTATCGGCTTTTCAAAAAAGAAAGACAGCCAAATTATATCATTGAAAAATAAAATTACAACAAACCACATCCCACAAAAATAGGCGTACGAAAACTAAATGTAATAAAGCATATGCAACAAGCATCAAACTCTATTTATATCATATACTTTGAATCCGTCTCAATTCAACAAATATATTATTTTCATAATTATGATAAGAAAACGTTTAAAATTTAATAAATAACAACAAGATCACAAACGGTTTCGTGGTCTAGTTGGTTATCACGTTTCGAACCCGGGCGAAGCCACACAATGTTTTATTTTTGCAGGTGCACTTCCAGAAAGAAAAAGCTTGTATAGAAAAACCAGCGGATTATATCAAAAATTACTTATCATATCAATATTAATTATATGCTAAATAATTTTTGTTTAGTTAACTTTTAAAACCAATTCAAATGTTATAACAACTTGCTGGAATTATTAAAAAATTAATCAAGAATGCCATCTCGAGATCTTTTTCTATCACAACATTCCTAGGGTTTTAAGCAAAAAAATATGTTTTTGTAAAAGGACCAAAAAGATAGGTTTTACAGAATTAATTTAAATCACGTCTTTCTATCGAATACCACCTGATGGACTTCATATCCTATGGCTACAAATGAAAGGATGTAGGAGAAATATAATGATGAATTTCCGAATTTTTTTGAAGTAAATCAAGTTTAGGGATGAAGTTTAAGAACTTCAGATGATTTAAATGAAAATTTAATGCAAAATGACGTAGTTTGATGATGCTAAGTACCTAAGCTTATATAAGGTTGTTAGGTATATTCACTTTACCCTATATATATATATATATATATATATATATATATATATATATATATATATATATATATATATATATATATATATATATATATATATATATATATATATATATATATATAACAAAGTCATTAGGTAGTGTTTCGTACATAGAACAGAAACACATTTATATCACAAGATGTTTACATCTTAAGGCTCGGTGTGGTCTTGGCAAGCACCTCGGTTACCTCAGCGAGCACCGGGCCGAGCCCTCGACACGCCTAGCTCGACTCGGCAACTCAGGAGATTTGTGCCATGAGAGAGAGTGTATGGTTTAGGGAAAATTGAGAAAAAGTGATGATTTAATTTTTCTTTTGAAGTTGCATGTAATAAAAATGGAACAAATTTCTTATGCATGCATTTAAATAAGGGAGAAGACAACAAAATTTTCCAAATTGGGAAAATGATTCTTAAGGATAATTAACTGTTGAGTTTGTTCTCATTTGGTCCATTTTCTTTTTTTGTACTCAATAATACTATCAAACTTGTTGTTTGTGTTCATCATAACCCTTTTGACCGGCTTTTGACCTGTGATAGTTGGTCAAGGGGTTACAGTGAACACAAAACAACTAATTCGATGATATATTGGGTACAAAAAAATGGACCAAATGAGAACAAACTCAACAGTTGGTTACCCTCCTGAGTCTTTTTCCCTTTACTCATTTGTAGAAAATCTTACGTTATCTCCTACTCATATTATTGACTTTATGAGATTCATTATTGCTTCTCTTTAAAACATAACACACGAAAGAACATTATTCATACATGTACAACTTTGTAATGCACTTGAATATTTATTAGGGGAATCTTGATAAAGCAGGTGCATTTCATGACTAAATTTACATTTCCAATCAAATGATTTACTGTATCATGGATCCTGGACAAGTCTACAAACGAGTGGAATCACAAGTGTTGTGAATTTTTAGTTTACTTGGTTTTAAAATTGAATTCAGTGGATAAGATACAACATCAATATGTACAAAATCATGCAGCTTTTGCAGGCACATCACCATAATATACCTTGAGGTAAACATTTATGTTGATAAATATACCTCTCATACACGGTCATATCCTTTTGTAGAGAGTTGTTAACAGCTAATCACAATAAGTATAACATAGATAATGTTTTAACGAAGCTACACCTCCGAAACGTTCTTCATGTACGTTATGACCTAGAAGGTCACAGTCTTTGATACTTTTTCAGCTTTAATTTCATTTAACTTTTTGAGGAAAATGACTCAAGAGGGTAAGCAACTTTTGAGTTTGTTATTATTTGGTCAATTTTCTTTTTTTGTATCCAATATATCATCGAACTTGTTGTTTGTGTTCACCATAACCCTTTAACCGGCTATCACAAGTCAAAAGGGTTACGGTGAACACAAACAACAAGTTTGATGGTATATTGAGTACAAAAAAGGAAAGTGAACAAATAAAACAAACTTAACAGTTAATTACCGTTAAGAGTCATATTCTCTTCCAAATTTGACATAAAAGGTTCCTAGAGTTTGGTCTACTAACAAAAAAGCATTCCCATCCTAAGCCTTGCTCCATAAATTTTCATCATTGTTTTATGGGTGTTAAGGTTCTCAAAATTGGTAGATGGTGGTGGATGTATTTTTGTAAAGAAAGAGATAAGGCAAAAGAATAATGAAACTAACGATAATAGTTTTCTTAATTTTCATTAACCTTTTAGCTTTCAAAAGCTAAAAAGCTAAAAAGCTTTTTCAAAAACAAAAAGTGTTGCAATGCTCTAACAAGATGTATAAAAAAATAGTTTTGAAACTCCTATAGTTTTCTTAATTTTCATTAACCTTTTAGAATGAAAAATCTCTTAGAAAAAAATCTCAAAAGATGTTCTAATTTATCTATTGAATATAAATGTATTATATTTGTAATTCATATACTTCAATTTTTTATGTCCAATTATTTTAATTTCACCTTTTACCACGAATATTACCAAATGACCAACCCACCCTTACATTCATGAGCAAATGCCCCTATTTAGAAGGCGAAAACAGGTATTTCAATTATAATAGACGAAAAATAAAACCTCTACAAAGCATACCATCAGTCAGAAACTAGGGTTTCGGCAAACAATCGAATCTCACACAACAAAGAAATGAGACAGCCGAGGGGAGGTTTCACAGGGGTGGTTACCGCCCTCTGTTGCCGATGATTATTGATTTACCCCCAAAAATCAACCCTCTATTTGATGTGTGTGTGTGTCTATATATATATATATATATATATATATATATATATATATATATATATATATATATATTATATATATATATATATATATATATATCAACGGCATTAACCATTATCAATATGCTTGCTTTCACTTTTCCTTCTTCAACTTTATCCATGGTAGACTCTCCTATGTTATGCATTTTCGACTGCCTTCACTTTGATAATTGGCTGTACGTTGTCGTTTTACTACTACTAATAATAATAATAATTAGAGCATCTGCAACACTACCCATCTAGAGGCGGTGATGATGAAATTCTTGTTTTGTGAGTAAATCGGTGAAGTTTGAGAGCCTCCGTAGCTTGGCGGGGCGATTTTCCGGGAAGATTGTGGTGGGAATCGATAGAATTCTTTGGATTCTACGACTAATATTGCCGTGATTTTTGCAGCCATGGCGGGTTTATCCTCTTTGCTTTGATTTTTTATAGATCCAAGCCTCGTTCTTTGGTTTTGAGTATTTGTTTTCGATTGTTTACAGATCTGTGGTTAAATCATATGATAAAAACATATCGGGAATTTTACGAATTTGAGATTTGAACAGGTTATGCCCCATTTAAAAATCACGAGTGACTAAAGAAAAGCAGTTATTTTAGTTGAAATGAATCCAAAATTTGAGAGAAAATGGGTTATATTCATAAATATATAGCGAGTTTTTATTTATTTATTTATTTTTGGTATAATAATGTTTTGATCTTTCGACTAAAAGAATCAAACCAAAGAATCTAATTTTGGACTTTGAGAAAAGGGTTATTTTTGGGTTTTCGGGTTTTTTTAGTTTTATGTTTTTTTTTTTCGTTAACAATGCTCTACAAGACTGCAACTTTCATTACGAAAAACAATATATCTACTAGAAACATAATACAAGATACTTACAAATACACCGATAAATGACTATTTATAAGTTAATTTTGAATAACAAACTCTAAAAATAAGGATTAGTATCGTAATTATTTATTAAACTTTTAAAAATATGTTCATTTAACCATTTAATTCTTAAAAAT